CTAAAATATTAGACTTCCATGAAATAAAAAGAATATCGAATAACTGCAACGTACCAGATAGCCTATTAAACGAAACCATGTCACCACTTCTCAGATTAAATCGATCGAGCTAAAGGGTGTTGCTATTCTCCTGTGTTTATCAAGATAATTTTAATTATTTCTCGAATCTTATTCCACCATACGAAATCAAAGTATTTTACCCAACAATCCATTTGTTCTGTTTAAGCCAAGAATATATACCAAGAAGTTCGCCAAAACTGTAAACTAGAGACTTTTTTGAACCTATTAAAGGTTATTAATAATATTGCAACATTGGATTATTTAGGTTTACATAAGTTAGTTAGAATAGCGTAACAGATAATCGATTTTATTACTCGTGCAATGAAAATCTCGAATCTCGAACTTCGATAAATACCTATGGTAGTTTGCCTGCATAAACAATAACCTGACGCGCCATAGACATTCCGCTGAGGAATGTTCCATAGTAAACTTTACCGACTGAATATCTAGTCAACCTAATTAGGCAAGACGAAGCTTTACAAGCGTAATGACAATGTACCGTCATTTAACGTTATTCCTGACGAGGCAAGCACCTGCCAACTTAAAGGTTAGCTCACTTGGAGATCAAACAAGCCGCATGCGGCGCCTTGACTGTCAATCTGACAGCTGCCCGATATAACGTAATCATCGTTCATCGTACCCTTCTAGTGCGGATACAAAGGAATCTCTCGAACCAGTCGTTTACCGCTTGTATTACGAATAGGACAAATATTCTTGTGATTCGTTCGTGCATCTATATTGTAGACATACAGATACAGTGCTGATCAACTTACCGATGAATAGGCACACAAAATCTATAATGATCTTTCTTAGGATCATTCTTGATAATCGATCCATGTCAATTTGGATAACAATGTGCTCTTCTCCTTTCTTTCACTCTCCGTCCGTTTCGTTGAAATTGAAGTCTTGAAAGGAATTATCGATGATCGGTAAACACACACAATCCCGATAGATAGAATCAAATAGACACACAGAGAAGAAAATT